GCGACTCTCCTGACGATTCGAAGCTCGGCCTAACAGCAAACCAGCATGAAGTGGAAATATTATGTCTTCGCGTTTCATTTAATAAGTAGTGGTAGGGCCACGCAGCAGCCTCGGCTTTTGCACGAATGGGCAGGCCCGTCCGGGTAAGTACCACGACCTCACAGAAGACCAGCGTAAAGTGGAAGTATGAGCAATACTTTCGCGTTTCGTCTGGTGAGTGAGGTAGCCGGAGCCCAATTTTCAAATGGTTGTCAACGTGTCTGTAACCCTCGGGTGTGGCGATGTCCATGGGCGGCGGTATTCACTTAACATCAGGTGGACTCGTTTGGCAAATTTTCGCATTAAAAAAAATAAGTGGGGTAATAGAGTCCGTAGGTATTTTAGATGTCCACGAGCGGCGGTAATCACTTAATACCGGGTAGACCATCTTTTCGCTTGTCAAATATTCGTGTAAATACATTATACAACTTTTAACATACAAGGCATAATTTACAGATTTTATGATATACAGTTGAGGCATATTTTGGTTACTATATTATGGTTAAAAAAAACAAAACAGCATAAAACTCAACGTTTTCAAATAATCCGCGAAATTATATCTTCACCTTAGAAATGTATTTCACGTACATTTTCACAAAAAAAGCGAAAGCGGCGGAGTGAAAGGCGAGGCTTCGAAACGAATGTCATTAAATTCAGTCTAATGTCCTTAAAAAAAAAAAGACTTCCATAAAAAGTAGATCCGTGAGTTTTGTCTACATTGAAATTAAAAACAGGTCGATCACTTCCTACGAAAAAATATTATTATTATTATTGTAAATATATTATATTTATCTGTGTCATTTATCTATGTAGATAAACGACACAGATAAATAATTGTGTAAACAAATTTCTTTTTATTACCAAACATTTTATATACGGCTTATGAGATAGTTAAGGAAGGAAGTCAAATTAAGGAAGACGCATGAATACGTGGAATCAAAACAGGAAAGCTATAAATTGCGTACATTACCCTTTGTATATTATATATTACCATTTGTTTAACATGAATTATCAAAATAAAGCTTTAGCCTTTATGTTACCTTTAACCTTCTCGTATACTCAGATCGTTTCAGATACATTTCCTTCGGCATGTGTAAAAAGAGTTTTAAGTGTGTGAAGTGTTATTGCAAAACACAAGGTTGCTACGTTTAAAAAATTTAAAGAAGCCTTTTTCCTGCTAGGGTAATGGGGAGCTGTATGACCCTTTGTTGGGCTCAAGTGTTTTGTAAAGTACGCGTGTGTACATTCAACGGTGAAAATTATCGTTTAGTTAGCGCCTGCTTGCGAGAAAAATGGTAATGAGTTTTAGTTAAATGTATTTCTGTAGACAAAATAGAGCGGAATTATATAAGGAAATTAAATTATCTATGACTTTTGTTTTTTTTTATTTTTTCCTAACTTATGTCATTTACTCTGTTCTGAACTTTTACGAAATATAGTGCTTTTTTGTGACTTTAAAAATAGTATTATTATTTAATGTGATATTACTCATTTTGATTTGTTTTATATAAAAAAAATGGTACTATATTATCTCAAGTATTTTCATATTTAATGGTATACAATAATTGTCTTATATATATTTTATTATTATCCCATCAAGCGCCGAAGGTTTTGTCCACAAATACAGATATGTCGGATTTCGAGGGTCATTACCGCATCAAAATTGCCCCTTTATTGCGTTTCGGCCGTACGTAGCATAATCGCACATCGCCATTATTTTTATTATAATGCTGTTATCGCCAGTAAATGGGATAAAAAGCACATGTTAAAACAGAGAGAAAAAATGTATAAGGCCCTGTAATTGTTTGCGTTTATTTGAGGGGCATTAAGAAGTCCTTTACGCATAGTATCTAAAATTGGGGACACGATATACAAGACAGGGTATCCTTTATATTAAAAATGTATATTATTCAATGAATATACGCGCCGAAAAATATCCGTATCCATAATAATCACCGTTTGATGATTTTTGTTCATCCAAAAAGTGCTCAACGCGCCTAAAGAAGTTTTCACTTCAAACATTTAAATGTAACTATTTCTTGAGTGACGTGTAAATAAAAGTCTCATTGCTTAATAGAAGATATCCGTGTATTAGATACCTTCGCGGATATCTTCGCTTTTTAATTTTGGTTTTAATTCCCGACATTTCGTACAATTCAAAGCCCATGTTTTCTGATGATTATGACCAAGTTTAAATAAAAATATATTTATAAATAAAAAGATTATAATCTAAAATAATGTAATATTTTTCCAAATCGAACTACGACAGATGTCTTAAAAATTTTCAAAAGTTATGTTTTTGGACTAAAATAACAAGCAATTTTCTTCATAAATTTTCGAATATAGTATTGCATCAGCACGATTACATCAAATTTCACAAATAGTTTTTAACAATATGACCAGAACACCTTGTGAAAGCATGGAATTACCTTGACAGTTTTTGTTTTGTTCCATTGCTTATTAATCTTAGTACCCGGAGGACCGTTTTTTTGGTAAATCGTGTGTTTTGGAAATTACATTTGGATACAAATTACCGAGTAATGAAATATGCATAATATTTTTCGATCGTACCGACATTTTTTTTGCGGCGAAATTTGCCGTCGTATTCGAATGATATTTTTCATTCCCTGAAAACAGGGATTTTTTCTAAAAATGAAACCTAGCTAGATCGATTTTTCGCCCACGAATCTACGCACATACTAAATTTCATGAAAATCGCTGGAGCCGTTTCCGAGATTCCGATTATATACGAGTATATACAAGAATTGCTCGTTTAAAGGATAAGAATATAGATTAATTTGTGAAGCAGAATATTTTTACTCCTTTTTACGAAAATTGCGCGGACGGAGTAGTATTAAAATTCCCACACTTATAGTTTATACAGAGGAGTGCAGAATGCTAATATCTTTTTTTTTAATTATGCATAAAAAGTACATTATTTCAATAAAAAAACATAATACACACTACTATGTATTTTACGCACACACGTATATATACTCTTTTGTTTATTTTTTAAGTCTGGGCAAGTTGAGAATAGATTAATATTGTTCGAACTTCTAATCTAATTTAATTACGGACCAATTTCGACCACTGAGTGACCACTAGTAATACTCAACGTAATTATTTGTTAATACAAACCAATAGGAATAAAAGTTAAAGGGTTTAAAAGATTTTTTACTACCTGTTAATGTTTAATTTCTAAACTTTCCTTTCATCAAACCATACGTTTCAGAACTTGCGTAATATTTTTATAAATAAGAACTAAAGTACAACATAATATATTGAAATACTAGCTGCTGCCCGCGACTACGTCTGCGTAGTATAGGCTGAAGGCGTAACATTAATACAGACATACATAAAATCTGTATATAAATTATTAGCTTATGTCTTATTCTGATGTATAAAGCTATATTATTGTAGTAAGTTTCATTAAAATCCATTCAGTAGTATTTGCGTGAAAGAGTAACAAACAACCATCCATACATACAAACTTTCGCTTTTATAATATTAGTAAGGATATATTTTACACTTATTTTATCTTTTACATTTTTTTTACCAAACAAATAAGTAACACAATAAAATAATGAATATCTTTTATGGTATTGCCTTGTGGAAGTATTCTCATAATATTTATATATATATTTTTCTCTCTAAAAATAACGATGACCATTAATTTATATAATACTATTTTTATCTTCTATTTCCAATATATTAAACTAATTAAACCACTAAAAAGTAATGATTATCTTTTATAGTATTGTGCTTTATAGAACTGTTCTCATAGAATTTCAATTACTTTTTAAGGAACACCACTTTATTAAGTAGATCCAATTGCTTTCTACTTTTAACGATGTTACAATTTCAACGAACAGCGATAATTGACGCTTTGCACAATTTAAAAAAAGCTGATCTGAAGAACAATCATCTCTTCGTTTAATTTACGGATTTTATATCTGTTTTAGCATTTCTTTTATTTAAGAATGAACTGATATCTTTTTTGGTATTATTTTTATTAATATTTCGTTGCTTGTTATTACTAATATATATATATATATATATATATATATATATATATATATATATATATATATATAATATATAACTGTTGATACTGTTATTGTGAATGACTGATTCATTTTACATTAATTTATCGGTATCGTCATAATATATTAATAATCATTTTTTTAATGTGAAATTATGGTTTTAGGTTTATGAAACCCAATTTGCGTTTTTCTTAAGACTGAATTAATCACAATTCGTTGCCATATTTTCTAAGAATATTAAATATACCAAAAAACTTTCTTGCTAGTTTCCACTACAAATATTTACGATAAATAATTCGGTAAGGTCATATCAAAAACTGCGTATAATGTAATCTTCCAAATAATATTGTATATAACGGGTACTCCTTGATATCTTAACAAAATTAAAGCAATTCGAATAGACATCACTTTTTAATAAATGATTGAATAGAGTTTTGAATTAAATTTAAAGACTAACATAACGTAAGTTGCATGATGTCAGCGTCGGTTCAAGAACCGAGATAATAGAGCATCTTTTGAACATAAAGACGTCAATAATATTTTGACTCCATCCATTGAATGTTCCATGACCGAAAATCTAATCGCGATAAGGAGTAAATATGTTTAACGTAGACAGTGTCTACTTTTTTGAAGTTATACTTCTTTTAACGCGTTCGGAAAAAATATTACAGTGAAATTTTCACGATGCACGCGCGCACCGACCCAGACATGATGGAGCTGGTTGCAACATGACCAACTTCGATCAAGTTCACGGTACTACCGTGGTAACCAACGACAACTTTTTGACAACATTTACCTACAACACAAAGTTGTTTTCTATTTAATAAGTAATTAAGCATTATCATTAAAAGCACGGGGCATAAAATTTTTTGTGTGTTCCCCGACTTTTTGTATTACGCGTATGATACGTAACGACAGGCGGCGGCTCAGAACGGGCACGTGGAGGTGATCCGCGCGCTGGTGGGGGCGGGCGCCGAGGCCGACGCGGAGGACCGCGATGGCGACAGGGCCGCTCATCACGCGGCCTTCGGCGACGAGCCGGCCGCGCTGCGGGCCCTGGCCGCGGCGGGCGCCGACCTCAACGCGCGCAACCGCCGCCGCCAGACGCCCCTCCACATCGCCGTCAACAAGGGCCACCTGGGCGTCGTGAGCACCCTCCTGCAACTGGCAGTGCACCCGAGCTTGCAGGTATGCGCTTACCCTTGACACTCCGCCCTTAAACTGTCAGTAAACGGTTCGATATTGCCCGGCGTACCCGTAGCCGGACTAAGTAAGTGATCAATGTAATAAGTAAATGTGTATTGTTAGAAATAGAAACGATAACTGATTTTTTAAAAAGAACTTATTGGCCAGTATAATTCTAAGTAACCGACACAATCTTTATTAATTCGTGTCGAGCTTCAGCACGCTACAACGACTGACGAAAAACTCAACGAACATGATGAGCGCTGCTCGTTTTATAGCCCGATGCAGTGTTGCCACTCGATATTTCTATTTATTTCTAGCAGTATATTATATCATTTAAGCAAGTGCCTAGTATCGTGTTTTTTATTCCAGCAAAACTTGATATTAATACAAGATTATCTGTTACACATAAAGTATTAAATATATAAATTCAATTTATTTATAATCAGCTGCCAGATAGTGATAAAGTTAATGTCATTGTCGATATATTGTATGTTCTATGCTTAAAATATTCTTCTCTTGATAAGAGAGACTTTAATTTCATAAAGGATATTATTACTTAACTTTTAACCCAGAATAGAAAACATTAAATAAATTTACCGTTAACATTCTACGTTATCATTTTTTCAATTGGATAGTCCCCATCTTCTTTCTCCTGCCGTCATTTCACCTATGTGGTGTCGGCACAACATTTGGTTTCTCGTACCGCTTGCCTTCGCAACCCCCGACCAGTGTGGAAACCGAACTTAGCATCTGCGCTACGGAATGATCCAATTGCCATAATTTTCACAATAAATAAATGCGCCGAATTTAAAATATTTGAACTCTATACAATTCTAATTTAACTGGATTACATATAAATCGGTTGATCGAAACGAACTCTTATTTTCTCTTTGTCGTAACGTTTGCACTAATTTAAAATGTTTATCAGTGTTAAAATTTACAGGCTGATTTAGAAAATTGACGAACCGTTACCCCTTGTGCATTACACATGTATTGAACCAATATGGATTATCCAAATTGTTGCTTAATTTTTGAAGTTATACTTCTTACGCGCGTTTGGAAAAAGTTATGAGAGTAAAATTTTTACGATGCGCGCGCACACCGACAGTCAAAATGTGACGTGATGAAGTTGGTTCCAAAGCGACCAACTTTTTTTTTTGTTGACGTGGGGGAAATGCCTACGCATACCCGCCCTCGCGGGGGCAAGAGCGGATTATGTCGGACTCGCACCGACTAAAACCCCCACGATGTTACACCTAGGCACATATCGGCAGGGTCACGGGAACGCTTTCGCACACTTCCGCGACCCTGCCAGCGCTGGCCGCCTTAGCAGCCCCCTCATGGGGAGCAACTCCCCTCTCCTCCAGGTAAGGCGCGCTGGAACATTCAGCGCGCCTTCCTACTCGGCCCCATTTTCACGGCCAAAGGACTCCCCTGAGTTCGCTGACCGGGGCCATGGGAGCCAGAAGAGCCAGTGCTAATAAGCAGCAAGCCTCCCAGCCCCCAGCGGCGGACCTGGTCTGTGGCTCCGCCGCTGGGGGCTCCACGTTTCGGCCGCGGAGGATAGGGAGTACGGCCGACGCAATACCGACACTCCTCTTCCTCCGCCACTCCTCCTCGGTAGCAGAAGACAGGGAGAGTGGTTCCACCTCTACCACCCTCGACCTGTCCCCTGCACCCTCCAGCACGCATCCAGAGTTGGCTCATTGAGCCCTCTTGGAGCGGCCCTCTCGGGCCGGCCTTACACCACAGGCCGGCCCAGTGTGGGTTCTTCTTAGCTTCGCCGTGGGGGACCAAGCCACGGCTACTAAGCCCCTCCGCCACGTCAAGGCGGGAACCCGGTCGGAGGGGAAAGCGACCAACTTCGACCAACTTCTCGGTATTACCATGGCAACCTATAACAACTTTTTGAAATTTATCTATAATTCGAAGTTATTTAAATAAACCGGTATCAATTGCATTTAATGTCTTTACGCTAAGGAAGTATAACTTCTGTAAATAAGTACACATGTACATTTTTTTTAGCTTATAAATAAATTAGATGACGTCGTGTATAGTTAGTATTAATTAATTAATTTCTAATTGTAATTCATTAATTTGTAGAAAAATTTTTAGTAATTAGTTAGTAATTAATTATTCAAGCCTGTGTTAAACCCTAATGGTAGAGTGTATACTCGATATTTAAGATGGCATCGTATAAAAACGGGTATATTACTTTCTTATTCTTACGAACGCTGACTATGATGGGGTGGACTACGGTTAAATCTAGTCAAGTTTGACCTTTCTTGTCATTTTATTTTTGGTGAAATATCCTAAAACCTCTTATCGAAAACTCAGCTGGGAGAATCTGCGATAGTGAAGCTAACAATGTTGAATGCATTTCAGACTCATAAACCAAATTAAAATCGCTAATTTTTACTCACACTTTCTATTATATAGATGGTGTTCATTAATTCGGTTCTTAAAAATCAATTATAAAAATTTTATGATTAATTTTAAGGTTCATATTGAGATTTCATCAAAAAAATGTTTCTCCTATCCTACTTTTGAATCAATCCAATATCAAAATCTGACAACGATGTAATGAGTCAGCTGTTTACTGTTGAAAGAAAAAATCCCCTTTGCGAGGGAAAGAAAGTAGGTAGTAAAGTTCGATTAAGCCCGCCGTGCCGGGCGTTAGTGCAGGGTACAGGCCGGGCTCCGACGTTTTTCTTTTCCTTTTTCTCGACGAGCGAGATATTTGTGTAGTCAACGTATATGCGGGACGAAATATACTTAGTCGTAAGGATAGCTCTTATTTATACTTATCATGAAATCTTGTTTACTGTTTCTCTATATAACAATTTACGGATGAACATCTTCCTCGTATATCGTTCCGTGTAATGACAGTTTGCTTTAATTAACGTCTCTAGTGCTATGAAGGCGTCTGTGGTTACAATGTACGTATATTTGACTGGGATTAGGATAAAATATTTAATTTATTATTGAATAATGATTTTTTGCTAAACAATTTCAAACGGTTGTCGTGATTAAGCTCTTCGTTAAGTTACCTGTAAAAGTAATGGCACATGATTTTTACTGAATTTGTTCCTTCATATTACACAATAAAGTTATCCAAAAGTTTAACAATTACTTTCACTTTGTATGCGGTTCCACACAGAAGCATACTAAATCATTTTGAGAAATACTTCTCTTCTAAATAGTACTTTGAATAGCCTTTAGCTTCTCCGAAAATTGAATTTTAAAGTTATTCACATTTTGGTGGTCTATACCAGAGTCTCTATTTCGCTCTACGTTACTAGTTGTACTTTTCAAACTGTATTTACGATACCATATAAAGCATCATTGTCATTAATGACATTTAAAATAAAGATTTATCCCTTTGCGTTGTCATGTGAAAATATTTTTATATTATGTATAGCAGATCATTTGTCACACAGTAGAAATACGTTATATGAAAAAAAGTTATACATTATAAGGATAACACAGTTTAACATCTCTGTGATGGTGCGTTGAAATAACTAAAAAAAAAAACGAATCATTAACTTTTATCTTATTGTTAACTAGAGAATAGTGCAAATTTCGTTGTATTTGATAGTTTTTAAGCGTTTTTAGTTTCAATTATACTCTTAAATAAATAAAATTGTGAAATGTTTGACCCTTGCGCTACTTATGTACATTGATGAAATTAGCCACGGGTCACTAAATTGTATTAGTTTTCTGGGTTGTTACCTGAGCTCGTCCCTTCACTTTTGGTAGCCTCTTTTCGCTTGATTTTTACGAACCCTACAGCCAAAGATAACGTCAGGGCAGAAGTTTTTCAGTGGGAAGTTTCCACTAAACATTTTGTTATATGCGGAATGACTAGCTAAAATTAAAAGAGAAAACGAAAGAGAAACGAGAAAGAGGTTCACTCTTTTTAAAAACAATAATTTTTATAACTACATCTATATTAAAACATTTCTACATGTAGACAACAAGTACGAAAAGATTGTCGCCGCTGTGGGAATCGAACCCACGTCTTCGGCATTCGCGGCCTGACGCTCTAGCCACTGAGCTAAACGGCTGATAGCCACAGCGACGAAAATCTTAACGCCTTCTTTCTATATTGTTATTTTAGCATTTCGTACTTTTTCTACATGTTTTAGTGTTCAATCTTAAGTGTAGAGATTAGCACTATAAAAATCTTAAAAAAAAAAACTACATCTATAAATAAAAATTGTGCGAAGTATAAATAAATTAAATTGCTCTTATAAGGTGAACAGGAAATAACGTTCACAGAATATGTTAACGAATAATACATTTTGGATTTGTTGATATCATTTGAAGACAATGTGATATTATGAAAAGTTTATTATTTATTTTAAAAATTCCTTGATCCGAAAAATGTCTATCTTTGTGCCGTGTTGGGTTGCTTCTATTTGTATTTATTTATGTACTGATTACAATTCCTTTGATGTGAAATTGTTTTTGACATATTTTATGTTAGGCCAGCCACTTTGAACAAGTTCCTACGATTAATTTCGTGTTATTCCATTAACAATGTTATTTTAAGTTGCTATGAATAGTGTAATATATTGTGATAGACGGATCTCGATATTAAAAGTAAACGCGCAACTTGCAATAAAAAAAAATTTTCTTGTCATTTTTAACATATTACAGATACAGGGAAAAGGCAACTTGCGTATTTTCTTTCATTCATGTTTTGAAATCAGTTGAATACACGTCAAAATGGTTGACGGCGGAAATGGTGAAACATTACCCTTTCGTTGTTTTGTTTGTGCAGGTTTTATGTTAAAATTTAAATAAAATGTGAGCCACAACGTTACGAATAAACGGGTTTTGTTGTTTTCGCTAAATCCTTTGACATTTGACAGATTTTAAACGCTAGCACGTATAGCGAGTGCGTTTTTGCTACAAAAAAAAAATAATTCCAAAATATTATACGTGGTAGGGCCTCGCAACAGAATTCTCTGTTGCACGAATGGGCAGGCCCGTCCGGGGTAGTACCACGG